TTTATTTCAGTAGCTATTATGTCTGATATTTGAGGTGTATAGAATATATTTTCTTCTATATACATTGCTCCTAAGGTTTCTTGGGATGGGCTGGAGATTTGAGGTTGTAATTTGATCTTTCATTTTATCATTTTCTTATATTTCTGTCTTTTAAGTGTTATTCAAAAGCTTCCTCAGGGTCTGTTAGAAATCCACTTCTATGCCTGCAGCTCCTGGGACTCTGGCACCAGTTCCACCAGCCTGCCAGGCCTCTGGAACCAGTGGTTCTTGCCTGCTTGCTTAGAACTCCACAGCCCCAAACAAGCGGGGCTTTGGGGAAAGTGAGCACCTGCCTGGTTGCTTAGAACTCCACAGTTCTCCAATCACAGCCGGAACTGGGAATTTTGCATCAAGGCTCAACATGAAGACACCTCTGTATGTTTCTCATGGGTGACAGGGTTCAGTCATAGGAGACCTTACTATTGGCTGTGTCTCTGTACTGGAGATGCAGTCTCCATAAGAAGAGATTGGCTGTACTTCCTGACACCCTCATAACCTATTTCTCACATCTGCACAAGCCTCCTTCCTGATGTTTGGCAGATGCAGGGACACAAATACACACTTGTCGGTGCAGAATCCAGGGATAGAGCCAGTGAGAGACAGGGTCTCTGAGGACATCCCAAGTTCTTGTCCAAACTGCTGCAGATGTACTGGGGACATCACAACTGTGGACAAGCCTCATTAGTACATTTGAGTCACCTGGCTTCACCACCTCTACCTGTGACCATGGGACTTCACTGATATTCACCTCAGCAAGCTCTTACCAGAGCTCTGCTTCCTCCATTCCAGACCTGACATAGGACTGGGAGCTCCCACAGCTCAAGATGGGGATCTGAACCTAGAACTTGAATAATAATTTGAGAATGTGTATTCTTTGATAGACGAGAAAAGAGTTAGATTTACTCTTATACTTTTCCTGTCTCTCAGAGCCAATTTTCTTAAATTGAAGATGTGTTTAACAGTATAGCACATGTTCAAAATACAGTCTTGGAAGACTGTCAAATGATATCACATTTGATGAGATCAGAGTTCCTTGTGGCTCAGCCTCTTTCAGTCCAGAACCCCAGTCAAGTTCTCCATATGTTTGCTGGTTCTGATCCTTGCATCTTCAGTGCTGATGGCAGCACAGTTCCTGCCCTCTCTTTGTTCCCTGTCATATAGTCTGGTCCTCAGGTACACAGAGATCCTCTTCTATTGTCACTTGGCTGTTGTCATGGAAAATCCAGGATTTCTCCTTCACTATCACATCCTGTTATTTGTGACACTTATTCTGAACAGAAGACAAGCTGGATAGAATAGGCCTGTCCTGAGTTTCACCAGGAAATATAATCACAGACATTTTGGAAAGAAAAAGCAGTAATTTTTTAAATGCTCTGTTGTACAGATGCCACTTTTTTATCCTAATGAAGAATTTCAACTCAAAGTTCAACTTCACTTCTACACATGACATCCTAAATTTAAACTTATTCATTTAACATAGTTTGAAGTATCTGGAAGTTCACTCAGAACTCATACCTTGTGTGCAGTGATAATGTCACTAAAACCTAAAATTGGCCCTTAGCCAAGAACCTTAGATAGTAGCTTCACTCTTCTTTTTTAAATTAAAGCAAGCAATGTGCCTCCATGCCACTCAATGTCATTCCTTGTGCTTTCAAAGTAGATAACTTTGATTTTCTGGGTTAGGCAGATGAGAATTGAAGTAAATCCTAATGAAAACATTCTTTCTGCAAGGAAATCAACTGGTTGCAAAGCATATTTCAATATTTCACTAAGAACACTAAAGTAGTAATCATTACTAACTGATTTGAAGACAACATGTTTTCTGTTTACATTCGGATAACTTATGAATCAAATCCCTGGAAGTGGTTCTACCATGTTTCATGCAGGTCTCCTTGGAAACCCAGCATAGTTTTTCCAGAACAACACCCTGCACCCATCATGGTTTAATTCATGTTCAAAATGAAGTAGAGACAATTGATGAGGGTTTATTAATTCTTTATGGGGGATTGGAGACTCTGGTAACCTCATGCTTGTTGCACATTGAGGTTACATGGGAATTGTCAGAGAAATGGACTTGAACTGAGAGAGGCTCCCCTGCCCTGGGCATCCAGAAGGGCTGGAATTCATGCTCCGATGAAGTAGGAATGTATCCATTACAGTGAAAGAGGAATGGTGAAATACCATACCACTCTCTCATGATTGAAGTTCTGAGCTTGTTTGACAGTATATTTTCTTGAAAATCAGGGCCTGGGATGCCTAAAGCAGTCACAGGGCTGCTCACTTCACTGCCCTTGATTTACTCTCTGTGTCCTTCATGATTTCTCTTGAGAAATTGTGGAATCTGTTTTCTACAGATTAATTCATGTTTCCAGTTGAGTAATACAGTAAAGGTGATTCTCCCTAAGGGAAGGGGTGAGACCATTATTCCTTTGCAGGGAATGGCTTGGAGGAGGGCCCATCTCAGTCTCACATGTTGGTGGGGTCAGTCACTGCCTGTTGCAGTGTGTGGAGAGGATGGAGCCTCACAGTAGGGCCCTTCAGGGAGAACCAGCACTGGGGCCTCTCTCCTCTCCTGAGCTTCAGAGTGCTGGGCTCCACTGTGATCCTTGCTGAAGTCAGGATTTTCCAAGAACAAGACCAGCACTGATGCTACTCCATTGACAGGTATAGCCATGGCCCCACGCTGCCCTTCTTCACTGAGTCCCTCATCACATTCTGCAGCCTTTCCCCCACTCAGTGGCTGCTTTGATAAATACACCTTTTCTCAGTGGAACATTTGGTGTTTCTCAGGCATGTGGGAAGCGGGGGTTGTGGATCTGCCCTCAGCTGATTCCACGCCTCTGTGATGCTCTCTGATCCCCAGCATGATCCTGAGGCTGGGGAGATGCAGAATGCAGAGCAGGCATCCTTGGTGCAGAACCAACATTAGCCAGAGCCCAGGTTCAGCCTGGCAGTGTCAAGCCTAGAAAGGCAAAGCTGGGCTGACAGGCTGCAGAGAGGGGGACAGGCAGGTGTGGGGGAGGTGCTGGGGGGATCCCTAGTGGTACAGTGAGTTAAAGTTGGAATTTAGGCAAAGACAACATCAGAGCATTATTGGTGAAAAGCATGAGCAATGAGCAATGTCAAATACATTATTGATCAGAGACAGAGTCAGATTGCTGCTTTAAAAATATGTATTATATTAGTGTATGTTTAAATTACATATTACATTACATTAATTACATTACATTAAATTACATTAAATGTTTTAATGACTACAGTGGTTTCCTTAACTCCCTGAATCAAAAGTGCTCAAGCTATGACTGGCTACTTCCAAAATCTTGCTTTAGAATTAATGACTGCAACACACATTGATGAAAAAATTATAAAAAATCTTTTCACCTTTGAGCCTACTGTCAACTGGTTTGACAAACACTGAATCCTATGAGTACACAGTCAATTTAACTCTGATACTGGGCTTTGCATAAATGTGCATTATTTCTGTTTCCTTTAGTCATTCTGAGTATTGGGACGAGTTTGTGTACTCCAGTGTGCCTTTCAGAAGAATCTCGATGGAGACTGCAAATCTCCAGGGTTGGCTTCAGGCCCAACCTCAGGATGTTCAAATGGAGGCTCACAGCATTACACTGGATCATCTTGATGAGACTGACTCCTGCTTAATCTTGGTCTCAGTCTTCATATTTGCACTCTTACACATATTAGAATAACCTTTGCAGTTGTAAGGTTCCTTTGTGTGTGTATCCAAAGGCCCCTTCCTGGAGAAGACATCACATACTTCCTGCATCAAACCCAACACCCTCTCCCTTGTACTCTTCCCAGGTCTGCCTATTCTAAACTATGAAATGAAACAGAGTAAACTGAAGGGAGACCCTGGACAAAGCTTGATTACAATCAGTGCACAAAGAGGAATGGACTTGCTCCACAAAAGTTCAGGGCTCCTGGAATAAATGGGCTAAAGTTACAGAAGATCTTCCAGACAACAGTCAGAAGATTGAAAGCAAGTTGTATTCAGAAAATATTTCCTCAGTGCATCGTGTTAACACAGCCCCCTGTCAACTTGGTTGAATAGAAGGACCTATGTCCAGTAACACATGACCTCCTCCCTCCTTAACTTGTGCCCAAACCTCCAGAGGAAATGTTTGCTTCTCATTATTCCTTCTCACACCCTTGAGTTCCAAATCAACAACTACAAATGGCTCATATACCATCTCATTCCCTAACACAGCTGCTGTGGCATTTTTGGACTGAACCAAGTCAGGACTCCAAGCAATGTTCTTGTCCTCTAAGCCATCAAGGCTGCACATATTGATGGTGGGGTGGAGAGAGAGTGGGCAGTGACAGCGACACTTGTGCCTCTTCCATAAAAATTTCTGTAATGCACAGTCTGCTAAATAGAAAGAGACAAGGTGATTTCCGGAGTCCCTTAGGATTTGGAATATCTTCCATGTGGTGCCAGGCCAGAGCTGCCTAGCTGATCTGTGTTGCTCTGGGGAAAAGAAATCTGCAGGGTTTCAGACAGAATGGAGAGGAATGCAGAAGTTTTAATTTATTAATCTGAAACGTTTAATTTGCAGGAAGCAATGCCTTATCCATTAGATTAGATTAGCAGGTTCATTTTTAGATAATGACCTTGATTAGACGTTTCAAAAAGCACTAACTCAAAGTTTACAATTTATTATGAGATTGGTATTCAGTGAAATTCCTACACAAATGGCATTGATGATGTTTACGTGGACGTGGCTACTTCACTGCACTTCATGCACTGCAGGATCAGCTCAGATCCTCTGATTTAAGGCAGAAGGAAAACCTCAGAGGTCCCCAGGAAGCCCTCACCCCGTGCCTGCTTCCTTCTCTGCAACTGTTCCTGTGGCCCTGCCTGGTTCTCCCTGAACCACAGCAACCCCTGCTGGCGGGACCGTCCCCAGAGTGAGGTTTTTGTCTGGACTCTCACTGATGTTCCCTCATTGTGCTGCACAGTAATACACAGCGGTGTCCTCGGGTCTCAGGCTGCTCATCTGCAGATACAGCGTGTTCTTGCTGTTGTCTCTGGAGATGGTGAATCGGCCCTTTACGGAGTCTGCGTAGTACATTTTACTACCATCGTACCAGATCACTGAGATCCACTCCAGCCCTTTCCCTGGAGCCTGGCGGATCCAGTGCATGCCAGCGTTACTGAAGGTGAATCCTGAGGCCACGCAGGAGAGTTTCAGGGACCCCCCAGGCTGCACCAAGCCTCCACCTGACTCCACCAGCTGCGGCTCATCCTGGACACCTGCAAACACAGAGACATCCTGCTCAGGAAACCATCTCAGACGTCCCCCGTTTATCCCACTCTTGTCCACTGACAAGCTCAATATCTTTTATTCTGAATAATTTACCTTTCAAAATTGCAAACAGGAAAACCCAGCTCAGCCCAAGCTCCATGGTGAGCCGTTTGTGTTCAGCTCTCACCGCTAATGAACAAGAGCAGGCATCCAAAGCTGCGCTCTAACTTAGAGCTGCAGGGCCCAGCCAGCCTGATTTATAACAGCAGAGGGAGGCCCTATTTGCATGGTCTCCTGCTATATAGCCAGTTCTGCTAATGGATTGCTCAGAGAGAACAATGCTCAAATGGACTCTGAGTGCACTGGCAAAGTTTGGTAGCTGTAATTTGGTAGCTCACCGTGTGAAATCTCATTGTGAGGTGATGCAGTGTTTTTTAGCTGTGTGTCTAATTTTATTTTTCATGTGCGCATAACATGTATTTTTCTAATATGTTGGTCTGCTTTGGAAGCATTAAAATGAATGTTTTCTGAACATTTTCCAATTTATACACTGCTGCATCCTGGAAAGACATTTGAATTGTTTCTAGTTTTCTACACGAATATTATACTGTGTTCCAGGGCTGCTGAGTAAACATCAAATGTTACTCTGCTATAGAAAATACTCACAGAAAAGACTATTAGGTTGTGTTTTTCATGCAAGATTAATTTTTTTAGAAAAAGCAAATTCTGCAGTGGAGTGTTGTTAGTTGACTGACTTGAGAAAATCAATCAGAAGGGAATCATCTTGTGGATTCTATCTTGTTTTGAGCATCTCAGGAAATCATCTCAACAATATTTTCCAATGGTCCAATCCCTGTGACTCCAAGGATGTCTGTCAGTTCACACAAAGCTGGAGTCCTAGTCTAGTATCATCCTCACAGCCTCAGGAGAGAAGAGAGCATTGGCATTTTGCTCGAATGTAGGAAGACTTTGGAATTCACTCTGCTTTGCTCTCTGCTCTGTATCTTGTTCTTTTATGGAGTCATGGTACTTGCACTTCCTGTTCCAAGGTAAACTAACAGATGAATATGAATTAGAAAACAGCACCCCAAATCATGTTGAAACTTGAACTTGTAGATGTCCCAATTATATTGAGAGTAATGTAAATATAACACATCCTCTTTCAGTTACAGTTAGATACAGTGATTGAGAATGTACATCAGAGATTTTGAGACTGGACAGTACTGACATATAGGTCATGAGAAATACTTGCTCAGGCAGTGAAATGTGATGGTAAATTGTGTAAGAGCACGATGGTGTCTACTGTAAAAACTCTGAAGTGCTGTCTGCCAAAGCGATTTGAGGCATTGCATCATATCAGCAAGGGTGAGGAAATGAACAGCTCTAATAATAGGTGAGCACTCAGATCAATGTTTACAAAGGTGTCCAGGCATTTGGAGAAGAAGACTTTGCATGAACAAGAACTGGGAAGTGACCTTCTAGATAACATATCCTCCAGATGCCTCCAATGGTGGGGGAAAGACTAGGCAGTGAACACAGAAATAAATCCATAGCTAAAATCATCAGACTGTAATTTCTTGAGTTGTAAAAAATGGTTCCACAGAAAAATGTATTGTGCAATGAGTAAGGAAACAGATGGGGAAACAAAAGCCTGATTCATGAAAATGTAACTCTGTAGGATCAGACATGTAAAAGATCCCTGGGATTTCTGTTACTGGGCTAGTGATGGAGATGTTAATCATGTGGAGAGAAAACCTTCTATCCCTGTCACCACAGATCTGTGAAGTTAGTTCCCTACAGCAGTGTGTGCTGAGCATCACCTGCTGATCCTATGTTTCCCTGTAGGGTGGTTTATGTCTGGGCTCAGTTATAAGAAATCACTGTGTCTCTTGCACAGTGATAGGTGGCTGTGTTCTCCATGGTGACAGTGTTCAGCTGCAGGGAGAACTAGTTCTTGCCCCAGTTTCCAGAGATAGAGATGAGGCTCTGGAGGGACAAGTTATACCTCGTGCTATCATCATAGATTATGTAACACATCCACTCTGGGTTCTTTCCTGGGGGCTGACAGATCCAGCTCCAGTCATAAGCACTGGTTGTGATGGAGAATCTAGAGACTTCAGGTGAGGCACAGGGTCTGTGAGGGCTTCACCAGGCCAGCCTCCGACTCCTGCAGCTGCACATGGGACAGGACACCTGGAGAGAATATAAAAGACCTTCATGTCAGATAATTGCTTTTAGGAGTTCCCGTGGAACCAAGTCCCACACTAAGTACACTCACCATGAGAATCTAGTGAGGCACAGGAGAGGATTCAGCAATCTCATCTTTTACCGCATAGCCCTGCCTTCCTGAGAGATCTCATCCCTATCTGGGGATGGAGTTATGAGCTCCCACAGCCCTTGAGTGGATATCGAATCTAGTGTTGGGTGGTGAATTTGCATGTGGGAGCCCATTTTCTATGTGAAGGGGAAACTGATGTCAGGACATTTTTTGTTCTTCTGTTGTGCCGAGAGAAAACTTTTATGCTGAATTCTGGTTGGGTTAGAAACTGTGATAAGTGGGAATTTGATTCAGAAGAATAAGAGAAGTGGGCAATGATGGCCTCAGCCTCCTGATCCAAGATCAGTGTCTTCCAGCCTCTTCTCCCTACTTGTGCCCCAGCCTCAGTCACTCCCCATTCAGCCTGTGCTGCTGCAACTTCAGGATGAACAAGAGCATATAGTCCTTTGTGTCTCTCTGACCTCTCTCCTTCAGGACCATCCATGCTGCTTGAGAACTTACTCCAAAGTGATTGCTGTCAGGAGAGTGATTGCTCCTTGCTCTAAATCATCCTGTGATCCAAGCCCCGCCCAATCATACCCAGCATAAACTATAAAAGGAGTTTGTGGTCTGTGCTTACCTTAGAAAGACAGTTTAACTCATTGGAGAGGAAAAGAAGGATATTCATGTGAAAGGACATGTCCTCACATGACCAATTGTAGCTGATGGATGAATACTTGCTTTCTAGGCTCAGCTTCCCATCTTTTTCTCTGAGGTTATTCCTAAACTTCAAATGCTTATCTCATGGTAACCTTAAATTATGAATGATAATGTCATACAGAAACTTTGAACACAATGACATTGTCCCTAAAATTCAACCTCAACTAGAACTTGCTAACCATGTTATCTTCATCATTATTTATGTTGATTCACATTTTTTAAAGACAGCACCACTCTGAAGTCCAGGAGCTAAGACTTAGGCTGCCCTCTGGTAGCCAAACCTGGCCTGAAATGTGTTATGATTCTCTTCTCTTATTCTTCCAAGTGCCAGAACTAGTTGCTTGTCACAACATGCATGGCTCAACATGTATATGTTATTTGTTCTTTCTTGGGGATAGGGGTTTCAAATTCAAAAGTTCATCCTAGTCTTGGATTTCTGCTTCTGTCTCCTCACACTTCCATTTGCTGATAATGTGCATGTGTCCCAGTGTCCCTGTTTAGTGGCAGTACTCATCTTCTTCTAGTAGTCATTACAAATTTAGTTCTAGACCCTGGCGACAAAGCTCTGTTTTTACATTTATGTTCCATATTTCTATTCCACATTCAACAGCTTCAGGATCCACACAAATCTGACAGAGAGAATCTTCAGGGATGGATAGGAGTGATCCACTTAATGATTTCATCACCAACAAGACTAACAGAATTCATCCCATCTAGGAGCCTTGAAGAACAGACATTCACTCTATAGATATACAGAACATCCGAACCAAAACAAACAGCTCATGTCTGACTTATTTCAGCAAATTTTCATGAAAGATTTTGATGTTTCCTTCTGGAATAACATGAAGAATACTCACATTGTCAATAAACTATTAGTGAGGCATCTTCAATCCCTGCACTTGTGTGCAGGAAACACCTAGAATATGTGCTGTGTTGTGAGGAAAACATTTAATAATTTCAGTCTGGGATCTTCACAATGGATGATGGGCCTTTTTCCTCTTTTGTTGTGAGCACTAGTGTCCAAGCCCTTGACACAGGCAGATGTGTGTCCATGGTTTTCAGAGAGGGGATATGTGTGGGACTGCAAACCTGGGCCCTTCTCTCAAGTGTAAATCTCTGTAATTTGTTCACCTCCTCAAGTCCTCTGTGGGCAAGACAGGACTCCCGGTATGACACCAGTAATGCTAACACCATGTCATCCCCTAGCTTTGCTCTACATGTTGCCCTTTGTTTTCTATGGATTAGCTTAAAACCATGTGTTAGTGTGTTTCTTGCTCATTAACCTGTATTTCCATTTCAGTACTATGCCTGTATGGGCTCCTACTCACAGTATGGAGGAGGATGCATGGCCCAGGGAATGGCACTGTAAAAAATGGTTTCTTGATTTCCTCTTCGAAAGATATAATTGATGGTTGCATTCTACACTGTTCACCAACGTGCACACTAGCTTATATTTTTGACAGATCTCTATAAAACAGGAAATATTTTACTGTCTCCTCTGTTCAGTATTAGAAAGCTTTGAAATACCACTGTGTGCACAAACTGGAGCCCTGCAGAATAACGAACTTACACAGAAAAATACTCCAGGTTCTCTGGGTGGAGCTGTGTCCTCACAGTTAAACACACTGGGTACTTCAGTTCTGCATCTGAGAGATCTGTGCACTACATCAAGTTACTCAGGTTTTCCATGCCTCATCATTCACAGGTGACAAGTCAGAGAAGTTGTGAATACAGCAACTTGAGGTTACAGCACTTTTTAAAAACTAAGACCTGAATAATGATCCTAAAGGAAAGTAGAAAACTGGGAAACCATTAAAACATTTTTCCTACCTGAGGCCTGACTCTATCAGCTCTGCTCAAACAGGCACCTGGGGAGGAGATTATCACCAGAAAACACACAGCGCTGTGCTCAGAGTTTTCAAGGAGGGCAAGACAATACAAGACACACAATAATAGTATTATTGATAACAGTCACTCCAAGAGTCAATACAAAGAAAGTGCAAGGAATCTGTGCACACACTAAACACCTAAAAGTGCAGCCAACAGCCTGGATTCCATGACAATAACATGCATGAGTGCATCTGAAAACCTAAGTCCTATCAGCATTTCCACCATATGCCCAACTGTGGTCCTAGGGACCATGACAATGACTCATAGAAGCTTGTTTTATGGACATGTGCTGGGAGGTCCCAAAGGTCAGTTTTGAAACTTAGAAAATCTATGCAGGTGCAGTGAA